ACTGCCACCTCCATCAAATCCGCCACCTTCCCTGTCCTTGGAAAAACAGAAGACCGCTCTTAGAACCAAGATCCAAATGCCTATCTTGCTTATGGATTAAATGCCACCGCGGGAGAGACACGAGAGGGTGTATCTGCCTCCAAATCTATTGTTGAGCCAAAGGGTCACCCAGGACTACAAAATGACACGCAGTTTGGTCAGGAGGCTACTGGGAGTCAGGGGGGATACTGCGAGAGTCTCAAGTGTGTGCTTTGTCCGGGCAATGCCTGGGGTTTAGGAACATGTCCCCACCTCTGAGGTTTGGCCAGGAGCACATGTCTTTTGAACTCCTCTCCAGTGGCAGGGAGTGGTTCCTGTCCCCACCCCAACTGTGTGTTGTGCACAAGAAGCCTTCAAAGAAGGCCCCCGGGGTGGGGTGTCCACTCATTAGGGCAGAGTCCTTCTGAACTGCTAATCCGTCCCCACCAACCACTGGGGGACCTGTAGCCATTACCACAGGAATCACAGCAGGCAGATCAAATGACCAAGCCAAGGAAGGTGTGTCATTGGGGAGGGGTGAGGACCACAGGCAATTAGGGAGCACGTGCTGCCCCTCGGAGGCTGCTGTCACTCAGCTCTCCGCTGACTCCCTGCGGAACACAGGCTCGGTGTGAACTAATCTTTCTTCTGCATGACATGGCCCTGATGTGACACGTTGGCAGTCAGCTCAATCTTCAGAGCATATATGCGTCACTCAAATGAGGTCTGTAGTTTAGTCAATAGTATTATCCCAGGGTCAGTTTTCTGGTTTCAATGGTATGCAGAGATGGTCCGTCATGGTAGTGTTGTCACCGGGGAGGGGGATCGGGCTGGGGAGGAAACACATGGGTGGTTTTGATGCTATGCTTGCAGCTTTTTGTGAGTCTTAAATTACTTCAAAGTGAAAAGTTAAATGTTTACATGCACACGCGCGCGCGTGCACACACACACACCCCTACACATACACACTCAGGACAGTGTGAACTATAGACCTGGCAAGCCAGAGATAGCCTCCTCTGTCTGTTGACATCCCTTGCTACATTCATCCAAATGGGCTAGTCACAGCTATGCCTTGCTGTCCAAGTGGGACAAGGACCTCAAGACCTGACCCAAGACCCTTCACATACATCGGGCCAAACTCACCTGTTGACCCTTTTATGGAATCTGTCCCCTGGAGGTGACACATGGCACCAATTGAGTTCACTGAACTCCTGCCTTTTTCCAAATTTCTGAAATCAAATCGCCATGGAACCACACAACACCGATTAATTCCTACGCGTTTTGCACCCATAACTCTCACTTGATGAATAGAGCGCCAGACTTACAATTCAGCCATGGTGTGGTAAATTACACTGGCCAGATTAACTGTATAAAGAACACGTCTCAAAACAATGATTTCACTTCAAGCTAAGGAGGAACAAGTGCCCTTTCTTTCATTCCTAAATTACATTTTCAATCATAAATATTGAAAATTACATTTCTGATCACCGCTGTCACCTTGTGAGTAGTGGCACAAGAGCCCCACAGACGCACGGGTTTTTACAAAAGGAAAGCCATTAGAAGACCCAAACCACTTTGAGTTTTAAAGGGCTCGTTCCCCCAGCCTACAGATTATAAAGATGGCACCCTTCGGAGTTTGTGGTGGCAGGGAGTGGCAGCCCCGTTGGCATGTGGGTTGTTAAGCGTGAAATTATTGCTCTGGGTGCATTCCACCACCTTTATGTAGGAGCTGTTCCAAGTGCTTACAGGCAGGAGAGGAACAGCCACTGTCCCAGAGACGTAGAGATCTGCCCGGTGGAAAGCCCTGAGACCCCCTTTAGATTTTAACTTTATGCAAATGAATCCTTCCATGTCAAAGGTGGGCCACAAGCTCACCTTCCTCTCAGATGATAACCAACGTCAAAGCTGTAGGCCTTGAAAGGAAAAAAGAATGGGATATTCCAACAGGGGCAGAGCAGGAAAGCATCAGCGCTGGGCCCACTGTCCTGGCTAGGGGCCAGGAAGGATGGAGGAATCTGTAGAAATGTGTGCCTGGAAGGCAGAGTCAGTCTGGAGGACTTAGATGTGGCCCCAGAGCCTCCAATATGACCCACACTAGGGATAACTCCTCTCTGGACGTCCACATACTGTATCCATCTCTCCATCTACCCACTCACATCAAGGATGCACTGACCTCTCTACCATGCCAAACCAAGGCAAAACCAAGCCGTGGCAAAGTTACACGTGGAATATCCCATATTGTCAAGACAAAGCTCATAAAATGTTCTGGCAAATCTGCATGGCACAACCTTACGGTTTCCAATGACAAAACTGTATCGTTGTTGTTTTCCTTAAGCAAAGAGTCTTGCGGACCCTAACACGGAAGAGTTTTATGTCACCACCCGTGCCCTGCCCATACCCCCCCAGCACTCCTGTTCAAGTGAATGCACCCAGGGCGTTCCTCCTGCAAGAATGCACCAGAGTCAGCCCCCATACCCCACACACACACACCCCGGGCAGCCCTCCACCAACGGCAGATAGGAGCTGGCGGCTTAACACCAGGCATCTCCTTCAGTCGGAATGATTCAGTCTGGAACTTCTCTCTCCCTAAGTCCCCTGCCACTCCACAGAAACCTATATCAGCTTCTTTCCCTTCCCTTCCCAGACCAGATGGGACAGGGTCCGAAAGACTGCCTGGATGAGCCAGAACAAATAGGCTGTACCTATATAGAGAAAAAAAAAACTTTTTTCCTGAAGGAACGGGTCCACTTGATTACGGAGGCTGGCAAGACCAAAATTCACAGGGTGCACCTTCAGGGCTGGAGACCCGGGGAAGAGTCACTGTGTCTGAGTTAGCTTTTGCATCACGGTGACCACAAGGCCCAGAAAGAGCCACAGAGAGGAGGATGAGTTTAAACTGGCTCACAGTTCCACAGGTTCAGCCCATGGTTGGCCGGCTCCACAGCTCTAGGCCTGAGTGAGGCAGTTGAAGAGCATGGAAGAGCGAAACTGCACAAGACAAGGCAACCAGGAGGCCGAGACCAAGTGAACTCTGCTTAGCAGGGACAAAATCAAACCCAAAGGCATACCCAGTGACCTACAATCAATGATGACCAACCAGTTCATCCATTTCAGTGGCTCGGCCACTAATGGGTTCAGCTCTCATGATCTAATTGTTTCACCTCAGAATATTCATGTCTGACACATGAGTTTTGAGGGCCACCTCACATCTACCATACTGTTACAGTCAAAGGGTAGAGGCTGTCTGCTGGCAGAATTACCCCTTGCTTGGGAGAGGTCCATCCCTTGTACTTTCAAGCCTTCAACTGATTGGACAAGGCCCACCTACGTTAGTGAGGGTAATCGGCTTCACTCAAAGCTCATCAATCTAAATGTTGATCTCATCCAAAAACAGGCAACCGTCAAACTCAAAGAAACATCCAGAATGATTTGGACCAAATATCTGGGGACCGTAGCCCAGGGAAGGTGACACAAATAAAATTAACTATCATTCCTCCCTCCACCATCCCTTACCAGTGTGTCCTGAGATCACCACTCCAAGAAACAACCTGCTCTCCATTCCTGTAACAGGATCTGATCCTGGGGAAACCTAACTTAAGGACATTGTATTTTTAGGATAGTTATGACTTGGAAAATAAATGCAAACATGTAAGTTGTCATTTGTCTTTCAAAAGCCCAGTGGCCCGAGAAAGAATTTGGCCCAGAGTTTGGGAACCGCTCTGTCACAGGTGCTGGTGTTTAATGCCTGGAAAAGCCCACACCGTCTCTGAGGCAGTGTAAACACAGATGTTTCCAAAGTCATCAATCATGATTTCAGAAAGACCACAGCATTCCTAAAATGACACTGATCTGGGGACCCTGCTGCCAAAGAAATCCCTTTTTTTTCCTGTACACGTTCTACCCTGAAAGTTACAACCATCCTGGGTAGATAGAGACTCTTCTCTGAAACCCATCACAGTGCCCAAAGCAGCAACAATTCCATCTTAAAACCACACCTTTATCCAAGGGCTTAGAAGATGTTCCCAAAAGAAAACACTGTTTTTTCTGACATCCCTAAGAATACAGGGTCAGATCCTATGTGGCAAGACAGAAGGAACCAAGGGACTCATGGAAGTCACAAAGACAATTTCCATCTCGGAATGCAAATTGCCAAAAGACTCGTGTTGGGTTGCATCTCAGGAATCCCCCACAGTCATTTGCCGCATCACAAGACCCAACCTTCTGAAGTTGAAGATCACCGCCTCTTCCTCTTTGGATTTCATTAGCAGAGATCGGGTTAATAAAAAAGTTTAAAAGTTGACCGGCTCCCCCTGGAGATTGATTAGGCCTCCTCCTCTGTGAGGCTGAGCTGGGAATGGCAGCCGACACTCTCCTCTCTCCAGAGCTCCCTCTGTCATCTCCCTCTGTGGTCCCTGAAGTCTGCCAATTAAAAACCTCCTGGATGACATTCCGCTGCTCCAGTTATGCACACATAAATCACGGTAATAAGAGAAGATTGTTATGTTAACCTTCGCCGTACAGCCCTTTCCCTTTTGTGAGAAATATGAAAAAACATTCATTTGTCTGGCACCAAAGAAGCCATTTCCCAGCAGATGCCTGGGAGGCCCCCCGGGTGTCGCCCCTTCCTTGGGGGTGACGTCGGCCGTGCCTCGTGCACCGGGAGGCATTACTCAACCCGAAACGGCGCAGCGACCAGGCCATAAACCAGGCAGCATGACGTCAGAGACAGGATGCTCTGAAATAAATGGGGAGCTGGTTCGATCTAGAGGAACATTTTTCCATGTTTAACCAAGCAAAACTCGACACATTACTGAGCCCACCAGTCTCAAAGGTCAGTTCGTAAGGAGACCAGCGCTGGGGAGGGGGAGACCTGGCACGTTCAACGGCTCTGGAAGGAACCCCCCAGGTGGCTGCAGATTCACTGTCAGGACGAGGGGCTGGTGTGCAGCAACTGTGACTTCGACTTGGACGTGAAAGATTACCTCCTCGGGCCGAGCCCCTGCGAGCAGGCCACCGCTGCAGACGAGGGTCAAGGTGGCAACCTGGGTGTGGTCCCTCATCTCTCTGCAAATCTTCATGCACCGATCACAAAATTCCCTGGAGATGTATCTGTCGTGTGCCCCAAAGCAAATAAACAAAAACAGAAAGGGAAATATCAACCACAGAATAAATATTAACAATGTGTTAATTTCATATATCTACGTGTTAACTTTAGAATAAAGATGATGTATATTCGTTGAAAGACTTTAAAACATCTGGGTATGCAATTGGGCTGCTTCTCATTATATTCAATCACATGGGATTAGCTAAACTCAGAGTAAAGTACCCCCAGCTGAGGGCTGGGGTGACCTGCCCTTTGGAGGCAACCAGAATCCAGTTGTCATGGAATGTCCAAGTGGTGTCACCAGCCTTGGTTAAAAAAAAATAAAAATAAAAAATAAAAATCTGACATTCAGAGCTGCAACTCAAAGACACCCACCTTTGTGGGCCAAACTAAATTAATTAAAAACACAATCCTGGTGATTTCCTGTCACATCACATGGATCTAAAGGAATTAAATATTTCCCCCCAAAAAATGAAATAATGGGTTGAAGGAGATGGTGGAGAGGGGACAGAACACAAATTTCACTTATTTCACAGTCAAAATGAAATTTTAGTCTAGTTCCCTCCAGAGCAACCCACTTGCCCTTGGAATATTGATATGTCCTGTAAAGAATGTTCTAAAATAACAAACTGCACCTGTTCCACTGAACTCTCGGCACAGAGTCATTTTTTACATCTCATCCTCTTGTTTCCTGTTTTTATTCCCCTTCAAAAGATGAAGGCGTGAGATGCCTTTCTCTTTAACCTTGGATGACCCTCACCCTCCCACCCCGGAATGCTTGGGACATGGAACTTTCAGTGCTAAAACCTGTGATGTCCCAGGCAAAGGGATAGCTGGGCGCTTCCTTTAAGCAAACATTGAAATCTTAGTTTGAGCTGCCAAAACATGATCTCTCCACCCAGTTGCACTGTTTTGCAGGGGCAGACGTGAGAGCGTGTTCTGCAGGCAGCGGGAAGCAGTCCTGGCACAGGCAACCTGAGCACTGTCTTATTGTGGTCCCTTTATTCTGTAGTTAAAATATGTAGGAACAATTAAGAGTTTAGGACCAATACATCTCAATGCACTCTTCATAAGAAAAAAAAATGCAAGTTTAGGATTTTGTGAGCTCTATAGCACAAAGAATCAATAGGTGTGCGATCTTTTAAATACCTGGAATGCAATGAGCATCTGCCCACAAATCCAGTAGGTCTCGCACGTAGAAACACCATGGTGTGACCCACATCCCTCAGTCACCCTCTGGGGTTTCAAAGGGAGATTTTGATAAGGCTCCATGGGGCATCACCATTAAATCATCGTTCTTCTTTTTTTTTTCTTTATACTTTAAGTTGATAAAATCTGAATCCCTGAATTTTTTCACGAATCTCTGATCCAAATTAGACTTTTCATTCTGAAAACATTTGGTCGGAGGATAGACAAAAAACAATGAGGAGAAGGAGGAGAAACCAATACTGAATGCGTGCCGTGCACCAGGCATTACACTAAATGCCCTGTGCCCTATGACAAGGTCTTCTGTGGGTGCAATTTGGTTGCCACCTAGTACTTCGTCTCCCATCATTCTCCCAGCAAGGGCACCCATTCTGTCATTGCCCTCTTCCCACATGGGTACCCTGAGGTGCTAGGAGAGCCTCATTCAAAAAATGTGCCAGAGCCCAGCTTGCCCCAGGTCTGATTCCAGAGACTGTTTTCTCAACTACTCCCCCTCCAGTGACACTTGAGGTCACAATTCCTTGTCCCTTTTTTGTTCTCCCTACCCTTCCCCAAGCCACGTGCTGCTGCTAAGGACAGAGGACAAGCAAACAGGATGGAGAAGATGGTACCATGCAGATCACCACACACCCACAAGGGGACGGCATGGACCGACCACCTGGGAGAGTGGTGCCCTGTCCATGCTGAGATGGGAAACTGGAGCTTATTGAACATGAGCACGGGGGACATTCTGCGCAGAGACAGGCAGAGCTCCTTGGGGAAACACTTGTCCCGGGAAAGCATCCACACAGATGAAGCCAGGGGAGGACGTGCCATAGCCTCGTGGTCTCTCTTTCCTTCCAGGCAGCCATGGCTGACCACCCCGGCAGGGAGAAGCCCATGAGCCCTTTCACTGAGAAAATCCTGATGCCATGGCCATCTTGCCGCAGCAGGGTGGGCCAGCACGCACGCGGTCTTCTCCTTGCACTTGTTTATTTAACAGTTTGGACCTTGCCTGTTCAACCTTGAAAATATCTCAACTATGTATATACTGTGTGCTGAAGTGCTTCCTCGGACACTATTTATGAAGTTACTTTGATCTAATTCATCACACACAAAAATCTCCAGCAAGTACCCAGCGTCCTTTGGGTGGTGGGTTGGAGGGGGGTGGGGGGATGCGGATCACGTGAAGGTAAGAAAAGGAAGCCGAAGCCCCCATTTCCCCGTGGTGGCTCGGGCCGTTGGTGCCACGGGTTCAAAAATGTAATTAAAAGAAGACCGTCGATTTCACCGTTGTCAAAGCGCCACGTCACCCCCCGAAGGAGAGGCGCGCTTTCGTCAATTTCCCCAACCTTGCCAAAGTTTCGGAGAGACCCTTCACTTTATAAATCAACTCACAGCTTAGAACATCCTGGCAGCCCCTTCAAGGAACCGATGGGAATGACAGGGAAAGAGAGGATAACCATCATAGCTTGACTGGATACAGGTGTTTGCGTTTACAGACGAACCACAAACGCCTGGATCTTTGACAGGCGTTGATGCTATCAGTGAATCGCAGCTATTATTGGCTCCGGTCGCCAAGGGCTGGGGGGCCCTTCCCTTAGCAACATCTCCGAGGCTGATAACATTTGGCTGAACTTTTCAGATCGTAACCTCCCTTCTGACTCTCCGCAGTCAAACCCGCCTAAACTGATCAGAAGAAGAGACACGGCAGTGAGAAGACAAGTAAAATATTATTGACTGCACTGTTTCATGTCTATTAGGAAGAAAGAGCAAAGAAGGGAGGGAGAACCTTACAGCTTGACAGGCTTCAAGATAATCAGGGGAGGAATCAAGGCTGCACAGTAACCCTCAGTGAGGCGGGAAAACCACTGGCTTACAAGAGGTCATTGTGCTGTGCCAGGAACAAACAGGGCGCCGGGCACACAGGGCGAAATTGCATTTCTCCACTGGATCCCCCGCTCCTCTTGGCTGTCCCTGCAGCAAAGTAGGGGGTGGGAGACAAAAACGGGGAGCCACGTGGTCCAAGGAAGAGGAAGGTCTTCCTCATCCTCACCCCCAAAGGCTTTGGTTTCTGGATGCAGCAACACATCCTGGCCTCTCTGTGCACCCAGTGCCTCTTTGTGCAGGGCAGAGGTGGGACCTGTAAGGACAGGCAATGCTGCCGTTGAAGAATTTGGCTTTGGCCATCAGTACTTTCGATTTGCATTTTATTTCCATGCTCCTTGTCCTGCTGCACCAGAACTGACCTTCTTCCTTCCTCAAGGGCATGTCCTGGGTATGTGCACACAGGCTGCAGTGTGTGTTGGAGGGATGGTCACCAGGAGGGGTCCGTTGGCCCTGAATGACCCTGAGATCCATTGCCAATATCTCCCGGGATTCCACAAATGAGACATTTGGTAGAAGACACGCTTCCCAGTATCCCAAGCCCACTGGGGGGGGACAATACACCCTGTATGAAAACCAAGTTGCAAGATAAAGGTCACCATCTGGGGCAGAGGTCAAGGTCTCAGACACTGACTCAGAAAACCAAAGACTGAGGCCATGCTTAGCACTGGCCATTTGTTCTTGCCCAGTCCCACACCCATTTATACCCAGCTCCTGGTTTCACGGTAAGAGCACTAACAGATACTGCTCAAGGAGGTCCCAGGAAATCCACACAACCTTCGCCATCACCCTGTGGGTATAATGCACCTCAGAGCTCTCTCTATGGAGGCAGAGCCTATTTTTTTCCCCCTCCAACATGCTTCTGCTCTGTACTTCAGCAGCCTTGATATAGGAAACACTTCCCTAGTATGTTGTCCACAAAGCATCATCCTTTAGGGAAAAGCCTAAAGGGAAAGCCCTGATGTCCCTGGAATCATGTGGCCTTGTCAACTGGAGCTTCCTAGGCTGAAGGAAGAATGGGTGGAATGGGATTTCCACAAAACTCCAGGAGAGAGAGAGAGAGACCTAGAATCAGAAGACAGCAGTATTTGGGAGGAAGGAAGTCATCATTTCTGATTCTTTATTCCACAGATGGGAAACTGAGGCACAAGGCAAGGAATTAAAAAAAAAAAACTTAGGTTCACACGGTCAAGGTAAATGCCCCTGTGGCCCATCCTGCCTCACCACTGCCTCACAGTGCATTTACCTATACACCTGTCCATGCTCCAGATACCCCGAGAAAAGGGTCCCAGCCAGCAGAAGCAATCACCAACTGCCTAAGACCTGGCCAGGCTCTACCAGCTGGACCTGGGTCAGAAACTCTGGGCCAAAGAATCTGCATCTCTGTATCACACAGGGTAAACAGGACCTGCGGTTCTCTTCCTCGTACCCTGACCCCTAACCCGCTCCCATTCCCATGCTCTTACCACCCTGCACCTCCTCATTCCTAATTTCCCCTCTGCTCATCACCCTTCCATTCCTTACCAAAGAGCCTTCTGTAACCCAGGTTCCGTGACATCAAGCAGTGATGATGGGGAGGATCATAATCATTTATTCAGCATCGCCCTGCATAAGGTACCACTTGGATCATCCAGTCCCTAACACTCCACTTTGCCGGATGGTACTAGTCACCCTGTCGTGGAAGCAACATCATTACTCCCATTTTTAAGGGGAAACCCAGAAATCATACTCAAGTTCACCCAAGAGAGTCAGGATTCGGACTAGACTATTCCTCTAGTTCAACCCCTGCCTACAACTGCCCCAGGATGGTGTTGCTCTGTCACTCCAGGGGTAGCTGGTCTCTGAATTCTTACATCCATGACCACCTGTCTGTCTACAGCAGCCTCTCCTCCCAATCTCCAGTCATCCACCTTCCTGAGTCCCCTCTTGAGCCCCCTCTTCTCTGCTCCCCTATCCCACTCAGCCCAGGATCCACATCGATGCCTCTGAACTCACTGCTGCCCATTGGACACTCAGTTCTCTGGCCTCCTCCATCCTTTCCCAATCCTTAATATACAAATATTAACCCTGCTCACTCCTCCATGTCCCATTTTAATCCATGAGATGATGGTGTCTCTTGGCAAAAGATACAGCAAGGGGCCCTGTCCCTTTTGGGGTCCCCATCTCAGCTGTACCCTTAGTCCCCCTCCATCAGGGCTCTCTTGAGCTCCCTCATTCATTCCTCCCGGTGGCTCTTCCTGCCCCATCTTTACACCTACAAAGTCAGCACCATTCCCAGCAACACCTCCTTCCCCCTGGTCTCACCCACAGTCGTGTTGAAGACCCCCCTTCCCACCCTGCTCTCTCTGGACACCCACAGTTTTCTCTTTCCTCCACTTCAGCATCTCCATCACCACTGACCCAAAGCTCTCCACTCGAAGACCACAGAAAAAGCACCCTTGACGAACAGCCTTGTTCCTCTCCCCTGCTTGAATCATCGTGACCACCCCCTCGCCAGACCTAATGGATTCTTCTCAGTCATCCTGGCTGGACATCTCTGCTACAGTTACCACCTGTGACCATTCCCACCATCTTGAAACTGTCCACCTCCTGGGCCTCTCTGGTTTCCTTCTTACCTCCATCCATTTCTTCCTCATTTTCCACCTGCCCCATGATGAGGGTGGCCCTCCAGGCTTCCACGGACAACCCGCCCTGTTTTCCCTCCACACACTCCTCCCTACTCACCATGTTAGCTGCCACCCAGGCGCCAGCCCAAACTCTTCCCACAGGCTCCAGGCTTCCCTCCAAATGGGTTGGACATCTCCAGTTTCCTTGAGCCAAAAAAATGTGTCATGATAAGGGCCCAGTGTCTAGGACTTTCTTCATGGTGATTTGATAATGGGGTTTCAGATTACAGCCTGGCTTCCTAGGGTGAGTGACCATGAGGATAAAGTGTGCTGTAAATGCCAATGGGTGCATTTCCGGGTCAAGGTCATTATATTTCTCATTGCAAATTAATAGGTCATTCCCTCCCAGCAACTGCAGGTGATGAGAGTCTGTCTCTGCTCTGATAACCCAGGTTCTGCCAAGGATGTGACCTTGGGATTTGATGGAAGAAAAAAGCCATCTCCTCTCCTGTGGTACCATGTGGTTGTATCCCTCTGTCCATGCTCTAAGCTGATTTCCCCTTGTGCCCATTCTCACTCTGAACCCTCGATTTAGAGAGGAGTAGAGGGTGGATGAAGGACCAGAGCCAGCTTCCAGCTTTTCTGGCCTCCGCATTTCCAGTGTACTTAGAGGCACATGTGAGCCAGTCCACTTATGGTGCAGGCCTTCACTTGTGTAGACTCTACGGGAAATGGGGTGACCACCAACTCCTGTTATGGAGCGCCATTGCTCTGGACTCAAGGTGAGAACATCATGGAGGAAAGGCATGATGGAGGATCTTTGCTCACCTTGGAGAGCGATGATAGGTGGCCATTGAAGGGACACCTCCTTAACCGGTTAGATGCTGCTCAGATCTCACCATCAGTGCCCTTGCCTTATGAACATGGAAACACCGCACAGACATTGCTACTCATGCTGAACCTCTTGAAAGCTCCATGCGGCCTGGAAACACAGAGGGCCATGGAAGGAAGGACAACCAGAGTGCATTCAGAAGTACCCTCTGTCACTCACTGGCTGGGTGACTTTGGGAAAGTTTGTCTGAACCTCAGAATCGTTATCTAAAAAAAAATATTTTAGCACAATCCCACCCTGCATCTCACTGGGTTGATTCAAGCCTCTAATGTGCTTATCCTCTGGGGTGGAGAGCTGAGGGACAGATGATGTAGGCTGCAGGGATGGAGTCTTCCCAACCCTTCCCTCAGCTGTCCTGCTGAGGACAGGATTCCCCGTGCTGGTCACTCATCCATTACCCGCTCTGTCTCATCCTCCAGACTTGAGCTCTTGAGTCTCCTCCTCAGAAAGGACATCCGTCCGCCACCCACTCTAGGTAGCTGCTGATACCTTCTCAATAATTGCTCCATTTTATTTCCTGAAGAAAATATGAATAGCAATTTATCAACAACTGGAATTTTAAAATTTATTTATTATATTTCTTACTTGTTTATCAGCTGATGGTTCAAGGTCATCTTAGCCACCGAAGTAGAAGCTCACTGGCTCACAGTAAGTTCTCAATAAACATTCAATGAATTGCTAATGAAGGGAGTGATTGAGTCCACTTTCTCTGCCTGAGGCTAGGTGTCAGGGCTGTAGAACCTGATTCCTGGTTTGAGGTTTTGCTCCTTGTCACTAAGGCGCCAAGTGCCTCGGCTGCATGCATTTCCATTTATGTCAGGGAACCCAAGGCAGCTTCAGGCCTTCTCTAGGCTCTTAGCCCCTTCAGGAGAGTCAGACCTGAGTACAGTCCCCGAAGACCCCACGGTCAGTCTGTCCCCTATAGACGGTGATAAGTCCTCCATTGCAGATATGAACACACCTAGTCCCTGAAGGAAGTTTCTTCGTTGCCTTCTTGAAACAGTGGACTCACCACCAGACAGAGCTGAGAGCTGTGTCTCCTAAAGCCAAGTCTAGGAGCAGAACAGGCACTCATCCCTTCACATAGCCTTTTTCCTCCCCCAAATGGTGAGGAAACAGTTATGTGGTTTAGATGAGGTGTCACCCGCCCCCCCCATGAAAAGTTCCTGTGTCCCTGAGGAATGTTCCAGAGGCAAAATGATTAGATTATGAGAGTGATTCAGCTTATCAGTGGATCAATCCATTTTGATGAATTAGTAATTTGAACAATTACTGAGTTGGGTGGTAACTCTAGGCAGGTGGGACGCGGCTGGAGGAAGTAAGTCTCTGAGGTCGTGCCCTTGGGGATTATATCTTGTACCCCTAGCTCTTCTCTGTGTGTTTCCGGGCTGCCACAAGGTGAGCAGATGTCCTCCACCATGCCTTTCCACCATGATGTTCCGTCCCACCTTCTCTCCAGAAAAAATGGAGTCAGCTGACCATGGACTTTACCTCTGAAGCCGTGAGCCCAGAGTAAACTTTTCCTCCCGTAAGTTGTTCTTGTCAGGTGTTTTGGCCACAGCAGTGAAGAGCTGACCAAAGCAACAGGATCCAACACGTTCTTTGACATGTGCAACAAATGCGATTCGTGTCCGTGTCATTGCTCCCATCTTTAAACACTGCACGGGAGTTATGCCCAAACTCCTGGCTGGATAGAACCCCAGACCATCCATTGGGTGCCCTGGTCGCCCTTTCTCTCTTTCTGGACTGTGAGCTCTCAGGGGCTTAAGTTTGGGGCAGCTCTTTCAGCACCTTGGGCACAGCTTGCTTGCAGCCAGTAGACCAATGAGCCACTTTCTTTGACTAAAATATATATTGATTCTGCAACTTGGCCATCTAGAGGAAGGAAGAAAGAAGAGAGATCGAGAAAGACACAAGAGATAGACAAAAATGGAAGGAAGGAGACACACACCCAGGAATGGAGAAAAGGCATGAGAAAAAGAAAAATGGGAAGTTAGTTTAAGAGAAACACCATCCCCAGGGCTACATCCTCGTTCCCTTGGCTTGTAACTGCCCTGTCACGGCCCTGAGATGCAGAGGGGGTAAACATGGGGACCGTCCAGATACCAGTAGGCTTCGGGAGCAAAGGACGGGATTTGAACTCTGGTGTGGTCCAGGGAGAGGGCAGTGGACACTTGGAGCCTCATCCTGCTGTCCCCACACACTTCTGAGTGATGAGAAGAGTGGATCAGCCACACTTGAGGCTTGAATCAACCAGGTGAGATGCCTGGTGGGATTCTGATAAAAGTCCCTTATCTAGGATTCTGAGAGCCAGACAAACTTTCCCCAGCTACTGAGTGTCAGAGGGGGGCGTCTGAATGGAGGCTTCCTTGTTACTCTTCCTCCCACGACCCCTCTGTGTTTTCAGGCCAGGATGGAGGAGCTTCTGAGAAGTGCAATAGTGAGAAGCTGTGGCCATGCATCATCTGCATGTTCATGACATAAACCCAGGGCAGCGATGTGGAGAGCTGTGCCAAAAAGAGTCATACATGGAAGCAGATGAGGATTAAGGGAGAGAATTCGCCAAGATCTTTCCAGAAGGGTTATTTTTTTCACATGAGGGAGGGAGGGGATATGAACAGAAGGTTAAATGGCACTGTCCAATTGGTCCAAAGGGTCTAAAGCCTTAAACAGCATCCTGCCGTCTGCCATCTGCATTGCTCTGTGCTATCAACTATACGAAGCTTCATTCTACTCTGAAGACCCAGAAGCACAGAAGTAGAAAAATTGTCCTTGGATACAGTGACAGTCGTTAGAGTAATGTCACCCCGAATCTTGAAGAAACTCAGGTTTGCCTCGAAGAAACTTGGACTGTCCTAGTCCTTGGTCAGAGATTTACCAAGCTATCAGAGGAGTTAACCCTTGTCAGGAATCCCAACAAAGCTCTCCTGGTCCTTTGAATAGACCCCACTCCACCCTGACCTCCAGAGAAGCCAGTGACTCCCAGTCCCAGGGAGAAGCCCCATGATTCCCACCTGATGGGTGGGCACAGGAGTTGTCCGATTTCCTCCACTTCACATCCCTCAGAAACCTAAGGAAGGAGGAGTGTGAGACTTCAAGGTTCCACTGCCATCTAGGTGGACCACACCAGAGTTCAAATCCAGACATTTGCTCCAAAAGTTCTCCCCGTGTTTGTCCCCTCTGTACCAAGAGCCAGCGTGTTTTTTAAAGAGTTTTTTTTTTTCATAAACACAGACTCCTTCAACACCAAGTCTGAATTTATAAACAGTGACTCTTATTCAGAAAAGCAGCAAGGAGCAGTTTTATATAAAAGTTACATCTCCATTTAAGAAAGAATATATAATTCCACATTCCACTGTCCCTCGAACTTTATTCCCGTTTATGTAGATCTTAATACAGTTATATAGTCGCGGGGCTAACGTCCCCTCCGGATGGTAATGAGGTCCTCTCGAACCCTTTAGCTGCTATAAAGTATGCAGAAGTTAAATGCACAGATGGAAAAAAATTTGTCTCAATTTTATACTTCTGCAAAATGGTAATTTTGTACTTAAAATGTACAAGATGGATGTTCAGAAATATAGGCTGATAGCCTAAATTATATTTGGTCATAATTTATGTAGTACAGTCCCAAAGAGATACAAAAAGGCAGAGCATAATTTATCTGCTGGAATCAGTGATAGCTTTGCTAAAACTCCCATTTATTCCATCCCCCATAGTTTTAAGCAGCCTCTGTCCTCAGGGCTCACTCTATTTAAGTTCCCCATACTGCTGTTTGATCACATATTGTAGTCTATAATTTGCCTATCATCCGAAGCAAATTTAGGTCCCAGAAGTTATGATCTCTACATAGCAACCACTTTATTTGGTAAATGCAAAATATTTATAGCAATATAAAAACCCAGATGAAAATAAAATTTCTATAATCATTGGAACATACACACTTTATCATTGGGGCTCATAAGACTATTAGTGTAGGACTAGCATGTTGCCTAACACAATTACCTTTGGACACTCGCTTGAATTTGCTGATGCTTAGGAACCAGAGAAACTTTTCCTCCGGCATCCCTTCCATCTTGTCGATAGGAGGAAACCTCCAGGCACAGGCTCCAGATGTGTTGCCCTAAGGAAGATCAGAAGACAAGGACCAGGTGAGCCACCCTTGTGCCTCAGGTGTGGGAAGGAGTTTCCAAGGAGAGAGAAACCACTTGGTGAGGGCACTTCCCTGGACCGTTCTACTCCTTAGCTCCCAAAGAGGTGGAACAGACCAAGGAACACCTACTACCATGCCACCTTTGAGCCAGTCGATGAATTCCTGCATTCATCAGATGCTGTGGCTCCTTCTTTGAGCTTCCCTCCACTGCAAGATTTTCAGACCTCCAAAATATATCTCCAAAATGTTCCTCGCAGTCACTCAAATGGACTGTAGCGGTCCATCAACAGCTCCTCTACAAAGCAACTTGTTCTTCAAAAAAGTGTGGGGAGAGGCTTAAAAGAGGTGGAGATGAGCAAGCCCCCAACTGAAAGGAGCAGTTGAAAAACCAGAGTGGGTGGACCCCCCCTGCAGGGTAAGAGCTCATCATTCCTAAAATGATCCACATCCAAAAGAAGAAACTGACCGTCCAAGAGGTCATCCAGCAGAGTAAGTGGTACAGATGAGACTAACACCCCAGGACAAGACCCTATCCAAGCCAGCAGTCTCCCCTATTGTATTTTGCAAGGAGGGAATGCAGGACTCTTGGGTTTTTCAAGGCATCTCTGGGGAGATATTGCTTCTTTATCCTCAGACCTCTCTCCACCCACCTCGGCCCCCTTCCATCCAGCCCTCAAGGCCGCCTTCAGCTCAGTGAAGATGAAATAAAGCCTCAGATACATCTCTCTGATAAAAACTTCAACTGAAGCCTCATATATTTTGTAGATACTAAAGATCTCATGGCTCTTTGAAGACGAGTGTTAGTATTAATCATCGTGGTTGTTCAGATTATTTTCTCATTTTTAACATTGTCCAAACCCTCCTACCAAGGAGCCACCATCTCTGCGTCGTAGGCAGCCAGACCCTGTGCGATGCCCGACATGTCTTTAGTCCCTTCCTTCTTTGCAACTGAGTTCCAGCTCCAACTCCCAAAGATTTTTTTTCCATTTCAAAAAAATTTTCCCCAAATATGGCTTAACTAGAAATCACCTGAGCACTTATTTGAACAGAATCCTGCTGAAATCCAAATATTATTCTACAATGTCTTCTTTGAACATTGCTTTTTAGGAATCACATTGGAAGGAGAGAGAAAGAGACAGACAGAGATGGGGACAGAGAAATAATATGATGACCCCAAATGAGAGAAAGACATTTAGGCAAGTCTATGGAGAGGAATGTTGGTTTCATTTGCCTGTGGCCTATCAATCAATGTAGCTCCCCATACTTGGGTGGACAGAGCAAGGATCCCCGGCCTGTACACCCATTTGGTAAAACAAATCCGAGAGGACAGAAGGGCAGAGGAAATACCTGGGTCTTAATTTTCTCCTGATTCTATGATTATTTCAAAACCAGTTATAGGCTCATAAAGTATCAGAGTGGAAAGGAAACCCAGTGCATAAGAACTGTTCATTTTACAAGGAGGGAAACTGAGGAATAAAAAATAGAAATAATATAACAGTAAGGAGAATAGGAAGGTCTTTGTTTGGGTCTCTGTTGTAACGTGTAAGCATGACACGTTACATGTATGTATGACACCCAAAGGCACTAAGTATTGCAATCAGTTGGGATTTCAAAGCTATCTGACATGGAGAACCATCATGACTGGTCCCCAGTCCTCCTCTGGCCTAGGAGAGAAAGACATTTAGGCAAGTCTATGGAGAGGAATGTCGGTTTCATTTGCCTGTGGCCTATCAATCAACGTAGCTCCCCATACTTGAGTGGACAGAGCAAGGATCCCCGGCCTGTACACCCACACTGGACACTTGGTTTGCACTTAGCCTCAGACAACCCTGTGAGTGGCTCCACTGAGATTAAAAGTCAAGGCCAGTTACTTTCCCAAGGACACACACAACCCCACAGAGAACTCTAATATATAATGTTACCGATGACTTTAGAGGGAGGAATTTCTAATGATACCTGGGGAATCTTGCAGCATGAGATGGTATTTGCATGCAGCAGACAGTTTCCAAAGACTCCAATAAATATTTGCACAAAGACCACAGTCCGAGGAAGGGACAGATGTGCACAGGCCCAAAGGAGAGAGGCTTTAAAATCCACAGGAAGCTCCTCTCCAAGTGTTCAGCAAAGGGGAATGGCGGTTCATTGCTTTCTCAGGACACATGCAAACCAGCCCTGCCTCCCAGCCACCCCGCAGCAAAGAGCTTTTGATGGGCAATATTACAGAGTGCTGGAGTGAAAGGCACCACATAAAATCAAATTCTCTTCTATTTTAAGTTGAGTGGTGCACCAGTTCAGCTTTAAAACCTAATTTCTTAAAAGTTTCAGAGGGGGGAAAAAAATGTTCCTTTGCAATTGGAATCGAGTCCACATAAATTAACAAGCCAGCTCTACGTATCCATCTTTCAGAACTTTCCTTGATTGTTCATTTTAATCAAGCGGCCCACATTCTTTGACTTTTCATCCTTCACTGCCTAGAATGATGCACTGCAGCTACTGATGACACACAAATGTTAATTTTGTTCAAGTTCAAATATCAGCCAAAAAAGGGCCTATTTTAAAGACTGGTTGGCAAACACCGGCTGAAAATGAGGACAGACTGAATCAAACACCACCAAAGAAATTCAGGGGAGGGAAAGCCACGGCCTTAAACTCGGAAACTAGCAACGTTTCATCTCTAGGTCCTCCATCTCTCCAAGGCCAAGAGTAGAATCATTGATTTCTACAGCTGGAAGGGAACGCAGACATCATCTCAGCCCTGCCCAAGGTCATTCAGCCTGGTCGTGGAAGAACTAGTTAATCCACAGGACCATCAGTAACGGAGGTTTCATAAAACGTAAAACAACACATCTTGAGTCTTTCTGTCATGTAACGTGTTTCAGGCATAGCAGGGCATTTATCTCACACACACGTGCATACACATGTGTGTGCACACACAATTTTAACTAAAGGGCTTATTTTCAAACCCTGGCCCACTGCTTCACCCACCACCCACTACCCTGTCTTCTACAGCATAAGACATCATGATTGCCCTGGGAGGGCACAGGAGTGACCGGAAGTGGGGTTCCAACAGGAATTGTGCACTTGAGTGAAGAGAAACCATCCAAGTTCATATGTCTTCATAGTTACAATTAACTGAAACTTGTCATCTGTTTGTTTATTTGTTTGCCTTCCCACTAAGGAAAACTTTATCCAAAAAAAAGGACCTCATCTGTGTTAATCACTGCTGCATCCCCAGATCTACAACAGCACCTGTGTGACCAGTAAGCAAGCACACAAAGAATATTTTTGTATGAATGAAGAAAGAAAAAGAATTCTGGCCAGTTACGGTGGCACACAACTGTAATCCCAGCATCTCAGAGACTGAGGCAGGAGGATCATGAGTTCAGATCAGCAACTTAGCAAGGCCCTAAGCAACTCAGAATGACCCTGTCTTTTATATTAAATATAAAAGAGGGCTGGGGAGGTGGCTCAGTGGTTAAGCGCCCATGGGTTCAATCCCTGGAACAACAACAACAAAATAGAATTCAAGCAGGTCTGTAGAGAGGAATATGGGTTTCATTTGCCTGTGGCCTATTAATCAACGTGGCTCCCCATACCTGGGTGGACAGAGCAAGGATCCCGAGCCTGTACCTCCATGTTGGACACTTGGTTTGCACTTAGCCTCAGGCAACCCTGTGAGTGGCTCTACAGGATTTTCCAAAGCAGGTTTGAACTACGTAAAGTCTCTGAGCAAAGAGATCAGGAGCCCGAGGGTCTCCAAAACTTTTAAGAACCATCTCACAGCAATATGGCCCCAGAGAATAAATCCAGTTGAAGATGTTTCCAGGAATCTCAGTGGCTTTGCCCCTACAACACCAACATCGTGTAAACAAGCCATCAGCGATGACGATTACCAGTTTCTGGAGCCCATCAGACTAAACCATTCACAGTGGCAGCCCATCTTAGGGAAGAACAGATGACTTCAAAAAAAAATACGACTGTAGCTATTCCCTGAGCGATATCTCTCGATCTTGAAAAGCAGAACATGTTTCATTTGACTTATAATAATTGCATTCTGTCTTTTAACCCTCAACGTGTTAAGTATCATCATTTCCTCTGGGGATGAAAAGATCCGGGGTTAACAACTTTCTCTTTTAAAAATTCATAAAGGTGCAAACAAACAGCATTACAATCCAGTGGCTACACACACATTGCAAGAAACCAAGGGAGAAAGAAGGGAAGGAAAAAAAAAAAGAAAGAAAAAAGCCACCACCACAACAACATTACCCCCCACAGGATACTTGGCAATTAACTCCAGCTATGTCAGCAATTTTTTGAAAAATTTCCTAAACATGGAGAAGGCTCATCTCACCATATGAAAAACAAAGCTACTGCAGTGACTCTCCCATGCATTACAATGTGTGTGTCTTACTTCTTAACCAAGCCGCTAATCACGCAAATTATTGCAACTAATTACATCTGAAGGTCTAATTAATTCTTTCAGTACCACATCATTTAGTACGCATTCACAACACAGCACCTGTTTTGAAAATCCTTGCAGTTAATTTGTTTATAAACAAACACTATTTGCATAAAATGTTTAATGAATGGTTTAACCGTTAGTACAATACTCCAGTTTTGTCTTAGTAGATTTGAGGTCATCAAAGGCCACGATAAATTAATTTTAAACTATACAAATTAATTTAAATAGAATGTGTGAATTTCTCATTAATAAAGAAAACATTTCCAACATGTTAATTAATATCTCTGTAACAGGCTAATTACTCCCTGCACAACAAGTACATCTTGTAAGCAAACCTTAAAGATTTGGGGGGCAAAGGAGTGGGACTATTTTTATGCTGGGGGGAAAAAAAAGTGCAATTCAGAAAAAACACACACACACACAAGGCCCAATGACAGCAGAGAATTCACCCTTTAGGACCAGGAAAGGAAGCAAAGCAGTTCCCTTATTTTAAGGATACAACACATTACAGTCATCCAGAATGGGAGAGTTGAAAAACATTTCTTTCCCAGGTGCAGTAATTCTGCAAAAATGGTTAGAGGATGCCTGCCTTCTGGTAGAAACACACAATTAATGAAAATATTAGTTCTTCTGAAAGTAAAGATCCCTCCTATGAATTTAGGGCATATTAGCTGTATTTGTGTTCCAATGGTAAATACGGATTTCATTAAACAAATCTGCATCTTAACACCAGAGTCTGAGACTCAGCCGTTATCATTCTCCCTGTGGCAGACCATGGAAAGACACCTCACTCGGAAAGTGAAGAGGAGCAACGGTATTGCTTCAGCCGTGAACACAGCCCCTGCAAAAGCCGTCACTGAAATATGTTCCCAGCCCTAAAGTTTGTTTCTGATTTGCAAGCGTTTTCACATTTGATAAGCACCTGTTGTAAATTTACATCCACTCAGGAAGTGTTCTTATGATGGGGAGCCGAGCGCTGTAAAGCATATTTACATTCTTACCCTTGTGTGGCGTTGCCCCTTAATGCGCAGGCTGATGAAGTGACTCGCTACCCGGGACCCAGGGGGACCTCTTGACACCACCTGCTTCTCTAGGAATCCGTCCCTGAGGAGCCACTAGTCCCCTCCTCATGGAGAGGGTTTTGTCAGCATGGATCAGGAAGCACTTGGTTTCATTTTAAGTCTGTTCATTTGGAGAGAGAGAGAGAGAGAGGAGAGAGAGGGGAGAGTAGGGTGCAGGGTAGAACCACGGAGAAACAAAGAAGCACCAGATACAGACTTCATGACACTTCCCTGGGACTGTCGATATATTCCCAAGAAAACCATGGGGAAAAACTAAGTAGAAGTCCCATCCAAACAGCACTAGGGCAAAACAGGAACTGGCCCTGCCTCCGATTGGAGCCAGATTTGCAGGGTGGCGCTGCAGTCCTCTGAGGAACACACCGACCATCTTGTCCCTAGGTCCTGATCCCTCTTTTGGAGGGGCTACAGAATGAAACGGTCCTAAGCAGGTCGCCCTGGTGAGCTCAGTGGACTAGGAAAAGCTTTTGGCTTTGCTCTTTTGACCCATAAACATCAGGCGGCGTCCTTGTCCCCCGAGAGCCTGGGGGGGGGGGAGGGCGGGGAGGGTTGGGCACACCTGGGTCCCCCTGGCCCTTGGCTCTACCACCAGGCCAAACATTTCCTATAACCCTCCAGCTCCGCAGGAGACTCTCGGAATGTTAGACTTCAGAAAGGGCAGGCGCTTCCCACTCTTTTAAAATTCTTTTTATTCTTTCCAAGTTTCCCACCAACAGCTCTGCTGTAAAAATTCAGTGCTTAAGGGACAAACATTTCATGAGTACAGTCTGTGATGAGGAGAAATTAAGCCATTGAACCTCTGTCAGGACACAGATGCATGCCTCTTTACCCCGAAAATGTGGAAAAAAATAAAGAGATAGATGGGTAAATGGCTGTTGGCACCGGGCTTCAGAACACAGGCCCATTTCCACATTGACTTATTTGGGGGGAAGGTAGCTAGGAGAACTGGGAGAGGACCTTCTCCAGGTGCCAGCCCCATAGATAAGACGTGGAGTGCAGGGTGTCACCCTGGAGCAGGCACAGGGTGGGGGTGGGAGTGGGGGGTGGCTGTAGAAAAAAAATCTTCCATCTCAGAACAAGCAGGGAGAGGCACACCACTCTGAAGTACTGGGGTCAG